CGGTTGAAGGTTATTTTGATAACTTAAAAGTGAGAATTTAGTCCACGATTTTAAGTAAATATTGTCTTCCTTATTTAAATTTATTAACACTAACTGTTTTGTTTTGGAGGTTTGGCATCGCACTTCTCGAATTTAGAATGTAGTTTTTGAACATGGGGACTCAGGTTTTTCCAGTTAGAGCCGTGTGTTTTTGGGATAGAACATGAAATCAGTGACGAACAGCTGAAATCGTGAGACTTGTTCAAAATAAGCTGAAGCAACTTTAAAAGTTTTTTATTGTTAATATTGATTTGTGACGTTTGACGGTAGAAAATAACCTTTTTTGACATCTGACGACAAAATTTTAGGCCGTCTGTGAACATGATGTGAAACGAAAAAGCGCTTTATTTTATGTTAAATTGGGCTAGAAAAAAAAATAAACTGTCGTAGAGAATATTATATTGTAATATTGGTTGCTTTTCTTCTTTTTATTATTATCAATTAAAATGTTCATCTGTATTGTTTACATTTGTAAGCTTTTGAACGGTAAAATTGATGCACTTTTCTAGTATTGCCTCTTTCGCAGGCAAGTCAGTAAGATCTCAAGTTGGCGGGAAATCAAACAACAAGGGGTTTCTCTTGGTTCTATCTTTCTTCTATTTTCCTTTGAAAGTAGGCGTTAACCATGTTCATAGTAGCCGGAGGAAATCCCCGGCCCCCGCCTCTTAAAGACAGGCCTGCTTTCGCACTATCCATTTTACTGTTCTGTGAAGGAACACGTACATGTTATAGTAAGTATCCTGTGTTAGTTATATGTTATAGCCCACTAGTAGCGAAAAGCGCCGGCTTTTTGGCGGTAAAAAAAGATTAAAGTCTAGCTTTAACTAGCTAATATTTTTTACCAACAAGTTGGATTTTACTAAAAAATTTTCCCCTCGCCCTCATGGCCTCTGAGTCAATAGCCCAATAGACTCAGAGCCAATTCGGGCTCGAGGAATAATTGTTAATTTTCTAATTTTTGACCAAAAGAAACAGGTTTACAAGTTCTGTTTGATAACACTTGTGAAACTTTTATGAAAATTGGCGTTTATTGCTGCCGAAAGAACCGAAAGGGCAGTGGACTAACTTACGAAGCATAAAAACAACTTCGAAGAAAAAATGAAATCTCTCCAGTAAGTCCTGTTGACATTGTTTTTCGCTTTAGTTCTATCAAGGACTCGAATGACATCGGTGACATAAAACTCTTATGCCAGGAATGAACTGGGTGACTAGAATGATATAAGACACAAGGGATAACTAAATGACTGGGATAACTGGGATGACTGGAATGACAAGGATGCAGAGTGACCGTGATGACAAGGGTGACTGGGATGACTAGGATGACAGGGATAACTGGAATGACTAGCCAATTCAAAGTGACCGGAATGACTGGGATGACAAGGGTAACTGGGATGTCTGAGGTGACTTAGGGCCCCCCTGTGTGACATTATAAGAGATCCCCAGGGTTTCCTTCTCGATTGAAATTTACTGGATGGGCAATTCGCCCCATCGTAAACCATAGGGGGTAAATTTCACTTGGAAGAGATCGAGAGAGGGAAAGAATTTAGAACAGCATTCACGTTTGGGGGCTACCTGTAACTTTATTAGTACCAGAGGAAAATATATTACAATACTCACAGGGTTTATCAATATTTTATGTGGGTTTTTGTGAATCTAGTACTTATTAACCAAACTACTTTGACTGATATCTTTGAAGTCTTGAAGTCTTTCCGTGCACTCTAAAAGGAAAAGAGCTGTAAAGCGAATGCTGTTTAGGCTTAGCGCATGCGCGTCGTTAGTCGTCCTGCTGATGTTTCTTCCCCAACGTATTTTGATATCTACATGTTAACTGTTCCCACTCCTTCTAATGACCTTTGGCTGAGAAGATCATCAGTGTAGGTGGACCTTTTTATCTGGAAGATTTGAGGTAAAAAATATATAATAAATTAAAATACTTTGTCTTAATTCGGGCCATCATAATCACAAATAAACTTTTCGCTATCTATGCCATAAATTCCGCTTATGAATCTATAGATACCTATGGTTACATGGGATCGATCTGGGATGGAAACGTTTCGTTCAATAAACCTTGATCTATCCTGGCCTTTAGTCAGCAATAAGACCAAGTTGCCACTTTTGGCTTCACCTCCGAATTCTATACTAGCACTGTCATATACGCCTGTAGACCCAGACACTAATAGGACACAATAGTTAACATTTTTGAGCAATACAGAAACAGGCTGGTGGTCTTAAGCATCCCCCACTTTTTCAGCCAAAAAAATAAAGACGCACTAAGAGGGGCCCCTCCTTCGCCTCCCCACTTCCGAGTCACTGGTCATCCTCCCACCTTAAAACAGTTTACAGAAAATGCGGGGAAACCATTGCTTTTCAATAAAGCTTTCATTCGAATCTCAGAACTAGCTAACAGTTAGTTTTGCTTTAATTTCTATTTCTGTCGGAAGCATTGAGGCCTCGGAATTATAAGTATCACAAAAGTCTTTTCTAATTATTTCGGAACTATCTTACCTCCTCTCTGCGAATACTTTGTTGCCCGCATCGCCGTAACCATCGCGCCCACTGAAGGTTTCCACGTCGGCCACAAGCTCGCTTCACTTTCACGCTCCTCGTATCTAAATTTCCCTCTCCTTGTCTGCCGTGAATGAAAAGGAAAAGTAGTAAAAGCAAGAAGAAACTTATTTGAAACCTCCGAAGCATCTTAGAAGATTATACGATCTGTAGTTTTCAAGTCCTGCTTCAGATCAACGCTCGTTTTTAATCCGTTTTTGAATGCCCAATTTGCCAAGTTTCCGAAATATATCGAAGTGCAAGAAGCCGTGCGTTAATTATTGTAACACCTTGCATAATGCATTGTAATGCGTTGTGAAAAGGTCTATTTGCTATGAAGTAAAGTAATAGGATTTTAGACGCTTTTTAAGACTATTATCTCTAATACCGCCCTGCCCAATTAAAATTAACCGCGCGTCTGGTTCATTTATTTCGTTCAAGGTATAAACTTGAGCAAAACATGCAAATCATTGGTCGTGGAAATATTCTACGATTCCCTGGATTTCTATAATAATTTCCGTTTCCTTTTAATTTTTTTTTATAATCCGTCAATTCCTTTTTCCATGTTTTTCCTTTTTACATGAAGTCGATCATTGTCTTCTAGTCAAAAGCATTAATTGGCAAATTGACAATGCTTTTCAACTGTAGAAAAATAAAAAAAATCAATTTTCCGTCTGTTTTTCTTTTTCTCTTCTTATAAACAATGACGTGTTGATTAGCTGTAAGCAACACCATAAAAATTGAAAAACACCTTTTTAATTGAAACTTTCACAATGACACTCTAAAGTAAATAATATGTGCATGCAAAATTTGCAAATAGCCGGTTTTAGTAAATGATCCAGCCAGTGGTCTATTATCAATGCTGCGTTCTGATTGGTTGAGCTACTATACTGCGCTATATGTTATGGCCCACTAGTAGCGAAAAGCGCCGGCTTTTTGGCTACAAAAATGGATTTAAGTCTAGCTTTAACTAGCTAAAGTTGTTTTGTCTCGATATTTTTGACCAACTAGTTTGATTTTACTAAAACAATTATTCCTCTCGCCCCTTATGGCCTCTGAGTCAATAGACCATTTGGCCTTCGGCCTCATGGCTATTGACTCACAGCCCATTCGGGCTCGAGGAATAATTGTTAAAAAACTGTTGCTTTCCCTAAGTATATCTGTCACATTAAACTGGATGAAACATTTCCTTACACTTAACACGTTGGCAGTCAATAATTGAGTGCTTGTGGGAGGGGATTTGAAGTCTTAATTTAAACGTGGTGTGATCAATCTAATTGACTTTAGTGTTTGTAATGATTTTTATGTTTTTTGTAATGATTTAAGTGCCCTCTTGACACTTGAAGGATTAAAATCGCGAAAGTACAACACAAATAAGGTTTTTTGTTCTCTAATTTCGGATTCACTAGCGACTCACGGGCGATTTTCCTTAATTTTTCAGTGAAACTTTCCCGTGCTTAAATCAATTTTCGCGGGAGTTTACTAAATTTGGCAATTCAATTACCATGGCTAGAGCGGGTCTTAGCAGATTGCGCGAAATTCGCTTTCAAACTTAACAGCTGAGAAAACGAATTTTCAGGAGTTTTTGGCTAGCATCCCCGGGAGACGTTCAGAGGGCTTTCTTAAACTTTGTAGCCTGCGAATACAGCCGTGTCTCCTGGCCCCTTGGCGCTAGGGACGTTTCTCAGGCAACGTCCCCAACGACGAGGTCGGAACGAGAAGAGATGGCTGTATTTGCAGGCTACAGACTTTGCAGCCTCAAGTTCATACAACCAAATTTTGTGTTTCAATCACCCCATCCCCCTATCATCTCATTGCCGCATTCCCTTCTAAAACAAGGATATAGGAGACGACTATACCCAGGCCCCCTTTAACGATAGCAAAGCTTGTTCCGCGTGAAATTTGTCGGTGTTGTGCTCAGTCGGCAGAGCTCTCTCCTTTGACGTCCCTCTCGCGCGCGACTTCTCGCAAGATTTTTCAAACAGAGAAGAAAACAGCGTCAAATAACAGCTGTCCAAAAGGTGGTCGTAGTTGGTCGTATCGGCTAGTCGTATTACCGAGGTTGTAGAATAAGGAAATGATTGGGTTTTTCATAGGAAGAAAACAGGGGTTGTGATAACAAGGTGCCAGTCCGACGCGCGCGCGGCGCGGATCAAAAAAGTCTCTAATCGTTTAAGGAGCAATCGACTTTCCGATTCTTCATTAAATCCCCTAAAGAATGACGGCTTGTCAGTCCGAAATATCGTGAAGCCTCAAGTCGCTTTTTGCTTTGCTGTTTTGTTATTTATGGCTCTTGCCCAAACACGCCCAATTCGAGAAAACGTTTTCCTCTGTGGTCCCCTGTCAAAGCGTTATGTTATCATGAAAGCGAGGTTCGTTTAAAAAATGGCGCCTTGCACTTGTCATGCGCAGAAAGGATTTTCAAGTCCGACATTTTGTCTTGATCGAATATTCCGAATAAGTTCGCTTTCTTTTCGAGGAATATGGCGTTGAAAGAAAGCGAACTTCGGGTTTTAGGCATACTTGGCCTAGTTATTGTTATTCTGTGGGCATTTTTTGGACTAGTTTGGAGTTTTCTTCTTGTATTCACATTTCTGATTTACGCGTATAACTTTGGAAGGCAGCAGAGAAATTCTTCGCATGAAATAGGAGAAGACGAACCGGATGTGCCTTTTCAAGAGAAAATGCACGACTATTATTCGGAATTTCAGGATCTGCAATTTACTGGCTCACCAAAAGGGCAATTTACGCTGCGATCACCTATGCCATTACTGTCTGAAGTCGCCAAGAGGCTTAGTTTTAATACGAGGTAAGCTTATTAATTACGCTTAAAAATGCTCCAACTTGGCAACTATTTTCTGCATAAAGCTTGCCTTAACCTTCGTTAATGGGATAATTTTTTACTTTTAAAAAGCTCTTTTTCTAATGGGGGGTGTCTATAATAATGCATGAGTAAATGTACACAGTTGTACATTAAATAATTATTGTACTTCCGTTGATACGCTTATAAAAGCCTGCACATTCTTTGATACCTGTATACTATGAGCCATTCCATAAACTTTCAATATACAAACCCTCCCCCCATCCTCTACCCTGTGAACAGTGGTTTTTCCTGTGAGAACGCTATGCTATGAAGGGAGAGAAACCACTGCGAGTGACAGATTGCTCTTCCATTGAGCATGCTCATCCACGTGTCGCTTATGTCAAAACGTCAAATGACATCACTTCCTCTCTTTTGGCAGGAAACATTAGGGACTTTAGGATTCATCAACGAGATGGTGACAAGAATGCAAAAAAAGAGAATACGTTTAACAAGCAAAACAACAACCTTGCTCATGCATCACACTTGTTTACAGTTCTTTGCCATTTTTGCACAACTATACCCTAGCAATGCCAAATTTTGCATTTTATGGAGAACGTAAACAAACATTGACAAAATTTATTTTTCTCTTTCTGCACTTGAATATGGTCCTTAAGAATTCAACCCCAGTAGGGTTCACCTTCAATTGACAAAGGAAGAGTGGGTAGGAGTATTCTGATAAAGACTGAGTGCAAATTTACAGCAGGCTTGCATTAAGGTAGCAGTTATAGGCATACAATGTAAGCAAATGTGTATCATAAAAGTGAAAAATATGAAAAAGGTTTTTTAATGTGATCAGTGGTAAGTTAGAGTGTACAGTGTATGCAACTGATGTATCTTTTAACCGTTTTTTTTGTTTTGTTTGTTTTGTTTTTTCAGTTCAATACCCCAGTATTCACCACATCAAGCAAGGAAACCATGGCATTATAACAGAGAATTAGGTAACCCATATCAGCTATCAAGAGCGAGCTCTGTTGCTTACTGGCGTAAATCAAATCACTTCAGCCTGTTAAACCCAGCATTACAGAGACCTTCCACTGTTAAGATTGCTTCACCAGATGTCACAATTAATAGAATGTTTACTTTGTAAGTCAGAGTAATTAGCATTATTTGTTTGATCATGTACTATGCATTATGATTATTTATATCTTTGTACTACATCTATTTAGGTAGACGTTAGCATTGTCGGTAGTTTCTCAGATGTGCAGGGCAGTAAAATCACCAAGTGACATAATACAAAAGATTGAAAAGAGACTGTATAATCCCCAAACCACACCACAAAAGCAAAACAAGAATGGTTTCTGCAACACCAAGAACACCTACAATGTCTTTCTGGTTTCAGTTCTCATCTTGATTGGTTAGACTCTCAGTGTGCCACTTCTTGAGCAAATGATTTGTTTTCTTGAAAGTTCAAAGATGACAAAAACAAAGCAATTCATCCTCGTGAGATTGGGTTTTTTAGATTGCAAATTATCAGAGATTAAAGACCTACACTCAATACTCAACTGGACTCCATCTGTGCGAAAGTCTTTGTTTGTCATATTTCCATTTTTATGCTTAAAATATATACATGCCCGTTTTGCACTTTACCTTTCTCTCTCTAGCCAATTTTTTGAAACCCAACCTAACGAAATTTGCAGTCATTTGAGTGACAAGGCATCAAAAGGCAGTTTTCTTATGCTCGATAAACTTCCAAATCACAGTAATGAAGGAAAAGGAAAGGAGAAAAAGAAAGAGCGAGGAGAGGGAAAGGAGGAGAAGAGAAAAAAGCAATGGTTACACTCTTAGTTTTTATGATGGCTTTCTTTGGAGAGAGGTTTTGGCCGGAAAAAAAACTGTTGGACACAAAAGGTCCATTTGATGGTAATGTTTTCAAAAATCTGGCTAGATATACATTGTATATTACCACGAATCATGATAATTTCTTAATGTTTGACAATGGTGACATGAGACCATTGAAATGTCAAGTTTCTTTCATATTGTCAATTTTTGTTTTAATTTAAATTATGACATGATTTTTTGAAGATCAAATAGCCCTTTCAAAAGAACTACACCAGACCCAGCAAATCCATGCAGCAGAGCTACTGTCCTGTCTGCCCTGAAGGAAAGCAGAAAAAGAAGCTATGTTGTTGATGAGGAAGATGATTTAGAACTTTCTCTACGACCAACAAAAAGGTTAGTGATCTCTTTTTTATGCCTAAAGGCTGGTGTTCACAGGGAACATAGTCAGATTCATAATCTCTACACCTCCGTTTGTGACTACGACTCCCTTGCTTAATGCTAGTGAAGACCAGCCTATGAGCAAGCTTGTTACTTATGCTTGTTCCTGTTTTTGGTTGCTGCTTTGGGGGGGAAGAGGGGTGCATTGCAGAGGAAATAGAGAGTCTAGGGGTTGTGACGAGGAGAAAGAAAGAACAAGACGAAATGATTTTCTTGGCATATGTTCGATGAGAAATCACATTATGTTCACCCTGGCCCTGGTTGTTCAAAAGGTGGATAATGCTATCCAATGCATAAATCTCTTTCCACTGGATAATGCAATAATAATTATATTGTTTTCCCTAATACTTAATAATACTGGATGGTGATTTATCCGGTGGATAACGCTATCCAAAGTTTAAACAACCAGGACCTGGTAGAAATGTTTGTCCCATTATGTGACCCCCTAGAAATTTTTGGATAATTTCTCAATATTTTTCCTCTATACAAATGTCGTGAAATATCTACAAAACATGCCTCTCACAGATCCAAACTTTGCAACAGCAGTGTAGTGTAATATGAAGTTGTACATTTTCCTATAAGAGTCAACTCTCTCTTAATAATGGACACCTCCATAAGATGGACACCTTTGTAAAAACTACAATTGGTTCCTGCCTTTCTCCACTCCCTTTATTGAACTCTAAGACAAATGTCACTCTTAGATGGACACTAACCTTAGTTTGGGTCCCAAAGGGGACCGCCATTTACAGCATGGTTCATACATGTACAATCTTGGAAGGTCTTGAATTTTATTAGTTGTTGTAAAAAGTTATTGAAGTTGGTTAAAGTCCTTGAAAAGTACTTGATTTCTTTATTAGGTCTTGAAAAGTCTTTGAAATTCACTACCTTACATCTATTCCGGACACAATTTTCTGTAAAATTATTTTTTTATTTTTTGCTAGGGAAAATTTGGCTCATCCTCTAATAAACATCATGTGGGTAATTAACATAAAAATATTCTTACGCATGAACAATATTTTATTTCTGTTTCTTTATTTTGAATGCTATTTCTGTAGCTCAGATACCATTGTAAGTCATTTGCAAGTGTTGTTATGAAAAGTAAAAAATAATGTGATCAACTATGGCTGAAGAAGTAAAAATCGTTAACGACTCCATGACGTGTTTTTGCCATGCGTGAGGTGTTTGAAATATTCAAAAAAATTTTAATACATTGATTAAATCTTAGTTCTTGAAAACTGTAATTTGTTATTGAAAAGTCCTTGAAATTTGTTTGTCTGAAGTTGTACAAACCATGTAGAGAATTGACGCGACTGTATCCTTATTTTCAATCCGTGCTTCAGGAGAGGTACTAACCCAGTTAGCAGTAAAACTTTGGATTCTCCTCAAGAAGGCCCTTTCCTGAGATCCAACAGAACGTTATCTGGAGGTCTTAAGAGGACAGCCAATCAGGACAGTAAAGAAACAAGGAAAGAAGAAAATATCAACAAGAGAAGCAAGATCATAGATCATACTACGGTTCAGCCTGCTGAGAAAGCACAAGATCATAGAAATTCTGTGCTGCAGAAAAGAAAAAATGTTGAAACAGAATTGGCACACGTAAGGGCGTTATTTTAATTAATACTTCTGTGTTAAACACTCATTCAAATTTTGAGCAAATTTTTTTCCAAATACTTTATAACAGAGGAAAACTCTATCATCAAAAATGTAAGTAAGGGGATGGAATATTTCCTTGTTTATTTTGGAAGACTAGTTCACTTGGCGCACTCACAGAGAGCTCTGTAGTTTTAGCCTTCTGGGGGGCATGGGAAGAGGATTTTTCAAAATGGCAAGCTGACCAGCTTGGATCAAAAGACAGTCAAAACATTACTTCCTGTAAACACAGCCGAAAAATAACATCACCTGGGCAGTTGTTTCTTTTACTTTATTTGACATGGTTTAAGTGTTGTGGTGGTGGGGGTGGGCTATTTTGTTAGTAGAAATTTATCTTGGTGAGTACAATCTGAATATCACTCACCAAGATGGCAAGTGTTCCAAAAAATGTGGTTTCCAACCCTGAACTTACAAGCACTCCCCTTGATTAAACAGTCAAACCAGCCAATGGCATACTACAGCTGTAACTGGCTACAGAATATTTGTAAGAATGATTTAGGGGCTTCACTAGGGTTACCAAGGAACAAAACCATTTTAATATTTTCAGTGTGGTGCACTAACCACTCAGCCATGCTATCTCCTGATGTATTCAAAGTCAGCTCTGTAGTAGATCATTAATTTTTTTTGTAGTAGTTTTCTTAAGCCTTGCACTAAATTTTAACAGGCTACTAGCAAGGAGGATACAGAAGGAAGTAGATCCAAGAAAATCAAGAATTATACATCCACTGGGAATGATGAATGTCACAGGTCAGTATTATCTATTAGTCTTTGCCTGTTTAATGGAAAAGCATTAGTGTACATTTTCCTGGAGAAAGTCACAATCTTCTAGAAAAAGCATTGTACACACAATCATGACAGCATTATAATAATTCACACTTCTTCCTTTGCAGACATGCAACGGTTGAAAAAGGAGATGCACACATGGGAGATAGTATAGCTGTTTCTGATACAAGTAGCCATGAAGAAGATACTAGAATAAGTGACAAGGAACACAAGGAGAATTCAACTAAGAGATCGTCAACTTCTCAGATGGAAAAAGATGACGTAAAAAAGCGCAAAGAAACTAATAGAGTCACTACTGTTCACCAAGACAGAGATGACGCCATTCAGCAGTCAGAGCACAAGGCTGTAGATGCCTCCAAGAATAAGCAGGTACATGTATGAAAGTGTGTGGTTGTTTTTCTCAAAGCTGGTTCGATGGTGTTAAGAGCCAGAGTCATAATCAGCAGCCTGAGAAAACAGCCAACATTTACGATGCCACCACTGGTTTCCCCGGGAAATGACATCTGAGAAACGGGTGCAGTAATTCCATACTGATGACTCATCACTGCCCAGATGTGGGTAGTGACTCTGATTGGTCATGCCGTGAGGGAAATTTGCTTCAACCCATCAGTTCAAGCACTACCCAAATCTGGGTAGTGATGCGTCATCAGTACGGAATTTCTGCGCTTGTTTCTTAGATGTCATTTAACAGGGAAACCAGTGGTGGTATTGCAAAATTTCAGCTTTTTTCTCAGGTTACAAAATAATAATGAGAAACATACAAGAGCTTATGATGTAGTGATCTGAAGCAGCCTTCCGATTCCTCTTAAGACTACATCCTGTACAATCTAGTGAGAACTAGCTCATGAGAATTGAAAGCAAAATCTGAAGAACTAAACCAATTACAGTGCCTGGTAACAAGCATTCTGATTGGTTTATCCCTCTGCTTCTACTTCCAACTCCAACAATCTGGTTTTCACTAGATTTTTAGTGATGGAGTCATGCCAAGTAAGAAGAAAACAGAAACGTTGTTATTTTCAATTTAACTTCACATACAACTATTTAACAATATTTTTGATGTTCCATAGCTAACAAGAACTCTCACAACACTGTTTCCAACTCTATCACTAGATTAAAGCAGCCTCAGGCTTTGATACTTAGTTGCCGAAAACCCTGCAACTTACAAATTTGTTTGTCAATGTGCGCCATTTACGTGGTTGCCACATCTCAGGGAATGGTCAAAGAAAAACAAAATTCTCCAAGGTCAGGGAGAAGAGATGAAGAAGAGTTAGTACTATACAAATCAATTCATCCCATACTTGTATGTGCATGTAGCAAGGTTATTAAAATAATGCTTTGATTGCAGAAACGATTTATGGTTCCAAGGTTTGCTTCTAAAGAAGATTCACGACGACGAGCTGTACCAGTTTACTGTGCTTCTAATGAGGAATCTGAGATGGTAAGAGCTCTTACAGTTTACAAGTAAACTTGTTTTGTTTGTCTAGATTATAATCACACATAAACATCATCACTACAAAAAGAGCCATAACTCTTACATTTCACCACCAAATCAAGTAACTAAGGGCATTTGTACTGCTGTTGTTTACTGGCAGGATCTTGCCATCTGGGAAGCTTCTGCATGCGTGAATCCCCCTGTCTGTGTTCAGCTTGATGGCAGCATGAATGAATCATCTGTATGCTCTTATCCAATGGGAATGAAGACATGAGGGAAAAATGATAATGCAGTATTAACAAACTCTTTTAATGAATTTTAGCCTCAAAGAAGAAAAGTGAGCAGAAAGATTAACCAGGAGCAGATCAACATTGATCGCAAGCTGGCATGGGAAAGAGTCCAAAAATTTCTAGATGATGATGAAGAGGAGGAAGAAGAGGATGAAAAGGAAGAGAAGTCAAAGTCAGGTAAAAATCGTTATTTGCTGTTCTTTTCATCTTTTCCAGGACCCAGTCACCCCAAAGTAGATAGATAGATAGACAGACAGACAGATAGATAGATAGATAGACAGACAGACAGACAGACAGACAGACAGACAGACAGACAGACAGACAGACAGATAGGTAGATAGACAGACAGACAGACAGATAGACAGACAGTTAGATAGGTAGATAGATAGATACTTTTTTTAGTGAGGGTTTCACTTAATATCCATCTCTCATGTAAGGCCTACACTTTAGATCATAGACAGAGTGAGTCCCATTTTATTACTTGTCTGGTTCAAAGACATGAAGATTTTTTTGCTGGGCAAGTGACTTTTAAAGCTCACCTGCTAAGCGTTGGCCTTTGAGAGCAGGAATTCAAGATTTTCATTTTAATTCCATTGTCCCGCAAAACTTTATAAAAGGGACAGTTTAACTAGTGTTTGCTTCAGGAAATTCAAGTGGTTCGTACTTGAATGTATGATTTCTGTATGTAGCTCTCTAATGGGTTTACTTTGTGGATACTGATTTTTCGTTTAAACACCCTCTTTTTACTTTGTAGGAGCAACAGCAGTGCCATTAACAACTGCACCAACTTGCATCTCTTCATCCTTATTAAAGATCCCTTCTGGTAATCCTGTGTCAAGCACAGTAAGTCTAACCACAGTAACCACTCAAAGCCTTGTCACACCAGCTCTGTCCACGGGATTTCCAAAACCAACCACAGGGAACCCATTAGCAACTGCCATTTCCCTGGCCAGTCAAACAAAGCAAGGAAATGGTGCTCTTGCCCAACCACAATCCTCGGCAGGGTCATTATTGCAATCCCGACAGAGTTTACTTGCAAACTTGTTAACAACCGGGGCAGTGTCGTCAACAGCTGCTACAAAACAAGATAATTTAGTTACAGCCACATGTGCTAGTGCATCAAATCCTAGCCTGGGAACTTTACAAGCAAATACACCATTTACATCATCTGCGACAAGTTTGAGCGTTCCAGGATTAAAAACGAATTCATTCTCTTCATCATCTCTTGGAAATTCTTCGTTCTTAAAATCGAAAACAACTGACAATTTAACTTCACTGACAGGTTCTTCAAATCAAAGTACATCTACAACTAGTTTTCAACTAAGTGCAAGCATAGTTCAGTCATCCGTGAGATCTTCACTGCGTTCAAGTCAGCTATCTTCCCAGAAAGTTGATTTTAGTTTTCCTGCAGTTTCTTCTTCCGGGGCATCGACAAGTGCCGTAGCTACAACACAGGGGGGGTTTAAATTGTCAGTTCCAAGTGTAACACGTAATACTTTTGGCTTAGAGACGGCTGGATCAAAAAGCAGTCATGGGGCTGCAGTTATAAATAGTAAAAATACTGTTACGTTAACAACAAGTACTTCTCAAAATCCTTTAACCTTTGGAGTAGCAGGAAACAATTTAACATCAACAACGCAGAGTCCTTTTGGATCAATTGGTAAATCTACGGCGGTTACATTCACTGCAAATTCATCAGGCATATGTGGGCAAAACACTGCACAGAATTCATCTGGTTTAACAACACAGAATAAAGAAGCATTTGGTTCCACTAGCTTGCAGTCCTTATCAGCGTCAACGGGCCAAGCACAGGGTGCCTCCAGTGTTAATTTTGGTGCAAGTCCGTTTACTCAGTCTTCATTAGGGACCCAGCCTAACCAAATTGCTTCTCAGAGTGCCTTTGGATCCTTTCCTACCCAGAATGCTTTTGGAACACAACAGAGTCAACCAGCTTCCCAGAGTACCTTTGGATCCAGTGCTACCCAGAAAGCTTTTGGAGCACAGCAAAGCCCAGCAGCTTCCCAGAGTACATTTGGACCTAAGAGTGCATTTACTTCAGAGGCACCTAAAACTCAGAATTCTTTTGGATTACAAGCTGGACAAACTTCCAGCCAAAGTGTGTTTGGAAGTCAAAGTGCTACCCAAAGTTCTTTTGGGAATCAAGCTGCCCAGAGTGCTTTTGGCTCCCCACAGCAGCCTCCTACCCAAAATGTTTTAGGAACCCAAGCTACCCAGTATGCCTTTGGAGCTCAACTGAACCAGCCGGCCAAACAGAGCGCTTTTGCTGCGCCTACTGATCAGGCATCGAAATCTACTTTCAGCTTTGCTCCAAATGCTGTTCAACCCAACACAAACTCACCTTTTGGTAGTTTTAGTAGTAAACCTTCTACACAGAATGCCTTCGGGGCAACACCTACCCAGAATGCAACAGGTACCTCTGAGGGCTTCAAATTTGGTGCAACCGCAAGTAAGACGACACCAGGAGGATTTACATTCAATGCAGCTGGCAACAGTACGGGAGGCTTTCAGTTTGGTAAGTTTTTGATTTGATGTTATAGTTACCAACATTTAGATTAGAATGCAGTTACCTGTTTTTACGGTACTTTAATGCGGACATCATAAAACTGATTCCCATGGAACGATCTTAGCTGTATATCGATAGTAATGACTAGTCAAATCCGCGTATAATTTAGTACAGCAAAAACTCACATATATGAAACTGAACTGAGATTAAGAAACACAGGATAAAATTTGGGCTCTCTGAGTCTCTTACCTAACATAAGAAGCATCTCAGTTTATTACCGAATGTTCGGGGGTTCTTACATATGCACGTACTTGATGTTTAAACATACCTGTACCCAATAACCTGCCCCGGGTTGTTTAACTTTGGATAGCGCTTTCCACCGGATAAATTACTATCCAGCGGACAAGTATTACGGGAAACAATTGCGTTACCCGCTGGATAGTGATTTATCCGTTGGATAGCGTTATCCACCGGATAAATCACTATCCAGCGGATAAGTATTACGGGAAACAATTTTGTTACCTCGCCCCAGTTGTTCGAAAGGTGGATAAGGCTATCCACTGGATAAATCACTATCCAGTGGATAGCGCAATTGGTTTCCGTAATGTTTACCCACTGGATAGTGATTTATCTGGTGGATAGCGCTATCCAACGTTTGAACAACCGGGGCCTGCTGGATAGTGATTTATCCGGTGAATAGCGCTATCCGACGTTTGAACAACCCGGGGCCTGATGAACTGACTCATCTACACAAACTTTTTTAAAATTAAATTAGGTACCGCAGGAGGTAGCAGTTCGTTTAGTGGTTTTGGACAGGCATCAGTGCAAGCTGCAAGTAAGTCCGCCCTGTTTATTGGCCATATATAGTATAAAGCTCTGATAAAACCAAGTGATAAAAGACTGGGAAAATGTGTTCTTCATGATGGAGTTGCAAAGAAGACCCATGCATTTTATTGCAACCGGGGACATTTGTTATACCGTCGTATTTTAAACTAAACTTCTCTGTTTGGTTTATTGTTCCATCAGTTCGGTTTCTTTGTCTGTGTGGTTGTTTTACACGCATTTTCTTTTTCGTAATTTTCAGCCCCAGCGACCATGCCTGCACCATCCATGCCCAGCGGTGGTTTCAACTTTAATCCCGGGTCAAGTGGCACCATGGGAACCGCATTGGCATCTTCTACGCCTGCGCCGTCATTTGGCGCTCCAAGCACCACACAAGGTGCAAGCAGTGCGCTTTCAGCAAAAACGCGGGCTCGCTTGGCCGCCAGACGAAGAGGCAAAAAGTGAGAAGTGTTCACGTGACAATAAATCAATGCGCTAAACATTGCGTTGTTGATAGTTTCAAGTATTACGTCCCGGTGAAAAATACTTTGATCAATCAGGCTTTCCAGTGAAAGGGATGTTGTCGTATTGCTGAGGAGGGTATAGAATTGTAAGGACTTTTATAGTATCCAATCCAAGCCCTTGGATTGAATTTGCACATCGTATGGTCTCAGTGCCGAAATTTAAACAGTCCTAATGAAGAATATTATATTATTGCTGGCGTTTTCACGAGTGAAAGCGTTCACTGATTTACGGCGCGAACGTGATGTTAAAGACGAAAAATACGAAACCAGTTATAGAACCAGGTATGGCTTCGTATACTTTGGTAGAATTCATGAAGAACGATCGACATTATTCTGTACATAATTTTCTTGTAGATATGCTCTTTCTTCGTTTTATTCCATTTGACATATTTCAGATTTAATGCATGATTGTAGGAAATATCGATATTTTCTATCTTTTGCTTAACAAATAAAAACATTTGTACGTTTTATCAGTTAGCAGCCCTTATTATTATACTTAAACCTCTGTTCGGTACTCTGTTTTAGTTTTATTCTTTCTTTTAAGTTCTATTTCTCTGTTTTTATTCTTAAACAATCTTGGATCCTCCCCTCAATCACTCCTGGTTAACGCTTGTTTCTCTTCACTCTTCTCTGTGCCTTTCTCTGTTTCTGTTTCTTCTTGTTGCGCTGGCTTAGCTCCGTCTTCTTCTATCAGTTCGTAGAAATCCTCGCCGAATACGACCAGGTCTGTTGAGAAAGATCAACATTTGCTTTACACCTTGCACGCTTGCCTCCCTGAAAACTAAACTACGACTTTGTCCTTGCTTCTGTTTATTTTTTTTTCCTCGTTTTGTTTTTGTTTCATTCTCAGCCTGTCTCTAGTAAGGCCAATCGAAATGAAAAAGACATTTACTTTTTTTTCTTTAATTCCTTTCCCTTTTGCCTGGCCGTAGTGATTTTCAACCTTATGGAGCTGTATGAAAACTAGTATTTCGGCTTTACTATGGCTGTCAAATCGCTCTAGACTGTGAGCAGACTATTTTTTTTTCTCAAAATTACTGAGGAAGCGCGCCACATACAGACTGACGCCAGCGGTGAAGCATCGAGCTCCCAGAAACAATCCCTTCATTGCTTTGCGAACTTGCCGGGATAACTCGACAGAGAAGAGAACTTCAAGCAGTCTACATCCCTTTAACATTTCTAAAGCATGTTTTCAAAAATCCAGCTGCATGTTTGAAACTTCAGATGATGCTGAGTAGAACGTTAGTTCAAAAAAACGTTGATAAAAATATGCATTTCTCGTAGTAGCCGCTGTCAGTGGTTACCGTAAAATTCCGAAAATAACCCTCGGGGCTTATATTTTTCATAGGCCCTTTTTGAAGGGCTTATGTACGGAGGGAAATTTGCGTTTCAAAATTGATTGGGCTAGCTCGTAGTGGGAAAGAAATTTACCATTTTTGCTTTATTTTACTTTGTATTCGAGGGCAAATTCCAAGTACAAGCCCCCCCAAAGGGGCTTATATTCGGATGGGCGATTTAACGGAGGGTTTTTTGCGTTACGATTTTGGGGGGCTTATACATGGAGGGGCTTATTTTCGGAATTTTACGGTACCTAAAGTTTCGGTAATTAAAACGGGCAACAAAAACGTGCGACTAGTGATTTTAGCTCGCAGCTTACTTGTAACAACTCTGAAAATTCTCCAAAGCCGAAGAATGATAATAAAGCTGAATCCTTTCCATGCCTTCCTTGCTCGTAAGACACTGCAAAACAACACAAGATAACTCTGTCGGTTGCAACTTCATTACAAAAATAGCCTGCTATAGTAGGCTCAGTTTTTGAAAGACAACCATGAGCGAGCGGTGCGTATAGCAGCGAGAGTGTCGCGGGAGAGGCGGCAAAAAAAACTCCAACGGGACGACAGCCTGCTCGCGGAGGCTTTAAAAAGTAAGAAGTTTCACAGTCATAAGCCTGAAATTCTTTGCTACCATTGGGAATTGAGATCACAGATTACTATGGCTTGCATTGGTCGTCAAGTAAAGCCCGTCGACCAGATATCATGGGTGATCTTTTCCTTACTCGTTCATGCACTGAAAGGACCCCTTTATCTTCAGTAGGAAACAAGCCTTTCTGAAGTACTCCCCCCAAAAAGTCTCGCCCAAATATTTCCCACTGCCCCTCAAAAGGTCTTTAGGAGGACCCTGGTCCGTAATTATGTAAGAGATGAGAGTATGACATGCATTCGATTTGTTTAAAGTATCGTTTTGAATAAGTCCCTTACCTCAACACTATTTCTATTGTAAAAGCTGAAAGTACGATAAAAGCGTCGAAAATCTGAAAAATCAATTTAAAATTGGTCACTTTCTGAGTTTGTGTAGCCTCAAGTTAAAGTTTTTTGTCCTTGCCGGAGAAGGCTGGCAAAAAGACCTAACCTCTGCCGAAGTGAAACAAAAAGCCAGCGAATGTGTTATTTTGGGATCGCATGAATGTGAGCCGTCCGGGCGGGATCTAGAACAAGTGTTTAGCGCTATGAAGTCTAGAATTATGGGACAAAGTCAACTTCAATTCAAATCTTACCTCCATTTTGTCCTTCAAGTAATATTCGCATCCCATTGAATAGAATTTCAGCAAAACCTGTGAAAATAGTCCATAATATCAATTGTATCCAGTTTCCGGTCCAGATGGGCAAGGTCTGAATGCAATCCAAACCGAAGAAATACATGAGAATAAAGGGAGAAATTAATATAATCCAAAAACAGTTTTGCTAGACTTACCTCAAGGACAAAGATACCAAGAATAAAGATGCCAAGAAAATGGAGAAGAATTCTTGCAAGGTGTGTTTCATCTAAAGGAAGAAGAGTATAAGTACATGCAGAAAGTGAGACTGATAAGGGGTCGATCACGTGTAATTCGCGCTCAATGCTCGTGAATATTCGTTTTTCTGAGTACCATATTTGAAAACCCTCGCAGCGGCCTCAAAAAAGCAATAGGTTTAACAACAACTTTGCTCTTGCGTCACGCTTTTTTCTACACTTCTTTGCCGTTGCTGCACGACTTATACGAGGCGAATGTGCCGAATTTCACGGAGGGCGAAAACACAAGACAACGACTTTCTTTTTCTTTCTTTTTTTTTTCCCCTTAACTTCGATGCAAACTTCAGGATTCAACCCCTGAAAATTTGCAAACATTTGACGATCTGGGCTGAGTTGCTCAAAGCATGGTTAGCTTTAACCATCGGCTAAGCAGTATCAAAACCAATACGTTGTCAAGGTATTAAACGCTGGTTAACGTTAACCATGCTTCGAGCAACTGGGCCCTGAAGGAGATGGGATAATCGCGAGTTCATTTTTAAGTGACGAGTAAAGTTACGTCACGTCGTTTACGTTTGAATGGTCATCCTGAGTAATTTTTTCTTAATTCTCGTTCCAAATATAGTGCTTGCGAAAATGAATATTTTCACGTCACGAGCAAAGTACAAAGCAAACATATGACTGCAGATTTGACTGCAGTTACAGGTTCAACCCCTTATGAGTTTCTGGTCCATGTGCGCATGCTATATTTCTAGCAGTTGGCTAACTCAGAACTGTTTTGTCGTTTACAGGTGGGTCTTTCAATTTATTGTTAATTTGTTGAATTTATCAAAACTGAAGGGCGCTAGTTGCGATAGTTTATAGAGCGTTTTCACTCACGTGGCCAGCAACTATGCAAATTTATGCGAACAAATAAAGCATTTAAATAAGACCCTGTTTACATGGAGTGGGGGACCCCGGTCTAGTGGGGTAAGTTTCTTTTGTTTTGTGTCCTCCAGAGCGTGAAAACAAAAGAAACCAACCCCACTAGACCGGGGTCCCCCACTCCATGTAAACAGGCCCTTAGAAAAGAGTCCAACTCCCACAGGATTTGTTTGCAACACCAACATCGCGGCCGTCATTGTTTTGGAACACCAATATGGCGGCCGTGACGTCATGTAAAAACGCTCTATATTTTCAATACAACTTCGTCACCTTTTATGACGTGGAATTCGACCAACATGAGAATGAGATTGATGAAAACTTCTATCAAAACCAAGACAAGGAGTCCAAGTTGCCACGTCATCCCTGTCAACATCTCAGCAATAAGGTGACGAAGAACGCTAACAAAATAAAGGTAAAATCCTTTAATTATTTGCTTACGGTTAGCATTATTTTGAAAATGCTGATTGATTCCTACAGTTCATCTATGTTGTGCCTAGGGCTAGTCCTAAGGGTTTCTGACAACTGAGAGATTTGCCCCTTCTCATCCCAAGAGAATTGAATGGCAAGCGATTCTCAAAACTGAAGGAAGTACCCTGATTGGCTGTTCTACGGTCAGGGCCATATGATAAACCATTTACTGCTCAACAGCTTGGGGCAGTTCTAAGCTCTCGATCAGTCGTCGCTTGGTCCGTAATGCCACCACTTCGGTGCAATATTAATACGTTACGACCGTTCACGGCTTAACTGCCGATTTTTCATGATCACTATACTAGACAGCCAGATCAACAGGCGCTATTAACAGAGCTTGGCAGTTAACTCGAATAGGTAAACAAAAACAAGTTTCTTCAACAGCAGGAAGCGCATGCCAGTCACCTGCAGCACTCTTCGCAGCTGCCTTGCTGGTATGTTTCAGTTAATCTTCTCTGCCATATTTCCCTGTATGTTCGTCTTCCATCTGTATCATCCCTCTTTACTTTAGAGCTTGAGATACAAATAAATCATTTATTATTAATTTTAAAGAATTTTCTATCAAACAAGTACAGTCGAACCCCTCTTCAAGGACACCCGCTTGATAAGGACACCTCATTATTACTGACACTTTGCTTTATCCCTCGGGAGAGAAATCCCCTATATTTTCTCAAAATTAAATTCAACCTACTTAATACGGACACCCAGTTAATACGGACACTTTCTATGGCCCCCCTTACTGAGTATTTTTTTTAAAGGGCCTTTGACAGCTAAGTGACAAAAACTACCCGTATGTTACGCCTGAATTTAACGGGCTCCTGCATGCCTCCGTATCCATTCACATTTTTTTTCTTATTCCAGTTGTCATGTCGTTATCATATAAATTGAGTTAACCACCAGAGCCAAGTTGTTCGAAGGCCAGTATTTCCTCGAATGAGCGCCCTAATCCCATTTCCCCCCTCCCCCTCCTCCCCCCCCGCCCCGTCCGCCCCCCCCCCCACCCCCCAACATAACCTCACCACACAAACACATCCAACACCGAACTAACACACATACATATGAACGCCACGCATACAACGTACCAAATGTTTCA